ATAGAATATAACTATAAATGTATTTATAGATTTTAATAGAATTGCTAAAATATAAAATTGTGTAAGAAAAGCATCGACAATGCACCGTGATGCACCAAGATTTCAAATTGAACCGTATCAATGGCATGATAATCGTAACCGAACTGAACCATGAGACCAGTGTAGGTTCACACCTCTCCTAATTATCCCAACAACTCCCATATGATTCGTTCAGCGATTCATTTGTTCCCAAACCCCTCCTTAGCGTGATGCTAATCTGCGCTGATTGGCCTGATGACAGTCTGTTGTGATTGGTCAACTGCGTTCAGTGCGAGACAGAGAGAAATGCCCACCACAGCTTATCAACAATTTTGAAGTAGTCAGAGTGCAGATTGTATGTGTAAACCCAATGCAGGAGTGCATTAAAGGTGCAGTAGGTGATCTTCCACAATGCTTACAGCTTAGCATAAATCTCTAAATCACAGTCCCTCCCCTGCCGTCTAGAGCCACGCCTCCTGAAACACAAGCACCACAAAAGAACCCTCTCTCATGTGTTAAAAGTGACTAGTGCTTGTCTGGCAGTGTGCAAGCCAAACTGACATGCTATTTCAGAGCAAATATATAATATACAGGGCTCGAAATTGCGACCATTTTGGTCGCATATGCGCCCGAAATTTTATCTATGCGACCATAAAATATTTTTGGGAGCATTTCTGCGAGTGCTTAAAATTGTTGTGTGCGACCAGTTTTTACTGCAAAATGTTCACCACATGCGCGGATTCGGGAGACATTCACGCAGAATTCATCTCTAAGCTCTTTGTTAGCACTTGGAACGGGAAACGCAGCGCTCAGGAATGGTTTTAAACAGTTGTCATGTCGTCTTGCTGCAGTAAACAAATCCAAGTCCGTAATGCTTGCCCCGGCTTCGCGCTCTTCTTATTGGCCCACTGCTCTAGCACTGAACGCGAATGATTGGTTAATATCAGCTGTCAATCACTCAGTCAGCGCCTTCTGGCTTCGGATGACAGAGAGCTGCTACCGCGGAAAACTAAAGCGCTAAAGATGAGATTGAAGATAACGCGGACAGATTTAGTTTTAGAAACCATCTAGTTACAAATAATGACACATCTTACTAGTGATCATGTGCTGAATGTTAATCCACCATCTACACTTTTCCAAGAGTAGAAGACTTCTGTTGGCTTCAAGTCCGCTATAAAAAGTCTGTGGGATGGAGTTTTCAGGTAACTGTTTGCCACATCCAGCACGAGAGCTTCTGTTTAATCCTTCATATAATTGCCAGATGCTCTCCGCCGTGCAAGGGGCAGCTATATGTCAAATTTAACATCACGTACACCATCACAAACGGGCTTACACTGAGTAAATTAATATCGCTAACTTACTCATGAAAAGACCGGTATGGCTATTAACATGACGTATGCATACAATAAGGTACAATATGTGTCAAAAGCATCAGTGCAATATCAGACAGCACTTGTGAGAACAGCACAGTTAACGTTATACCGTTCAGATCGTAACAGATTCATTCAAGCAGTGCGTGCAGGGCCGGTGAGCGCTCCGTGCTTTGGTCACTCAGTTATGTTATAAAAATCTATTTTCTTGTGATCACGGGATTTCGTTGAGACATATTTTCCTCACGCATGCATATTTATATTATTATTTTTTTGCTTGTTAGTTTGATTAGTGTTGATTTCAAATACAATAAATATGTTTGTATAAAACTTGTAGTAACGGTGCTCATAATTGGTGGGTGCGACTAAATTTTGGCTGATGCGCCTAACTTTTTAAAGTTAGGAGCACCGGTGCTACCAAGCAAAAAGGTTAATTTCGAGCCCTGATATATATAAAATCTACATCATCGATGCTGTAAAAGGTCCCTTATGAAACTGAAAATAGTCTTATCAATCTTTCATCGAAAGATTTTAATAGCTGAACAACACTTCTGTGAAGATATAACCCATTTGTAACAACATCTAACGTTACATCAGCTTTGCGCGAAGCTAAAACATTTTTAAAACAGAACATTACCTGTCTAAAAGAAATCCTTCAGACATTGTGTCATCCTTTTTCGAGCGTGCAAAGGTAACTCTAATATTAATTCAGGTTTTTAAAAAGTTTTGATTCAGCATGTCACCTTTAAAGCAATCAAGTTTAACACCAGCATATTGCTCTATTCTTAACCATAAATAAAAAGAGTGACACACCAATATTTCATACAGTGGCAAAAGCTGAACTATTTTAAAATAAATAAATAAATAAAAAAATTGCACTTTTGGAAACAAATAAATTTTCAATATTTTTCATATTAAAAGTATAAAATAAGCAGTATCTTTTCTTAACAAAATATCTCTTGTATATCCTGTAAATATTATTTTAAACTGTGCATTTCTTGCATCTTATGAAAAACAAATGTCTTAATGTAAATAATAACTTTAATGTTATGGAAAATATGCAATTTTGAAGGCTTAACAAAGCAGGTCACGTTCAAAAATTGACTCAGGAAAAGTTTTGAATGTCAATTTCCATTAGTTTTCGCTTAATCGCCCAGCCTTATTAAAAACATATTATCATTATTTTTTTTTTACTTTTTGGTCAATGACACAAAGACACCTTAATACTAAATTGCTTACTTATCGTAAACTATTGCATGATCTATTTTTCGATATGTACATTTATGTACAACCTTCAATCAGATTTGATTATAATGAAAATTTGTATTGGTAGTTAAAACAAATAAGAAAACTGATCAGTAAGAACAACACTAAAAATTGTACCTTTTTAAATCTGTTGCATAGCAAATAACAGCTTTGGCTTTGGAGTATGAAAATTTTATACTTTTACCAGGCCTCTGCAGGTGAGCCAATAAGGCCATTCTGTACCCTGGTGCTGTTCAACAAGGCTTTAGTTATTGCTGTTTTATAGATCATGCACACAAACAGAATAACACCAACATACACCGTCTTAAGGATGCATCCCCTTCCCCCCCTACTTGATGACACAACATGAAGCAAAGAGCTTCACGACTGAAAAAAAACATATAAATAGAGACTCAAACCATCTGCTGCTCAAGAGCTTAAGTAGCCTACTTCAAACCCTCCTATTCCATTCAGCGACGTACTGGCCGCAACTCAACTACAGCTCAGCCCAGCACACTAAGCCTCTGCCCTCTTACAGGGGGACATCTGGGCTGCTACTAACAAAATCTACTCTTTACACTGATGTAGGATCAGCTCTAATGAACAGAATCCAAACCTTAGCCTTTATAGGCTAAGTCATCAGGCTGATCTCTGGTAAATGTCAAAGGCTAGGCTAATAAATTCTGGTGTGGAAGACAAGGGATGAGGCGAGGTAGATTCGGAAGAGCAGATTGGCAGTGAATGCAGGTGTTTCAAGCCAGAGCAGGTGCAGCACGGCTGGCCCAGAGGGTGTAGGTGTGGCTTTACTAAGCCAGCCAATAGGATGTGAGTATTAATGGGACCTGTGTCAACAATCCTGTTGTTTTTCATTTCACCTGGGAAACTGTCCTCACAGATACTGCGGCTGTGAACACACACTTCTCAACACACACGACAGACTCTCACTGGCCACATTCCTGAAAAACCATTTGTAGTAGTTTCACTCATGTGGAAAAAAAAAGAGAAAGCAAATAAGCGTTGTCCAGGTGAGAGATGAAACCAAACTACAAAATAAAATAAAAAAGAATATTCCACTTTTCAAATATGCAGTTCTAGCAGTGACTAGGTCTATGTATAAGACAGTAATTTCCGGCATAAGATATGATGGTATGATTACCTTGGATAAAAATATCACGGTTTGATGGTATTGCATGGTTTCTACTACATTCATTCTTCCATGGTGGGGCGTCACACCAAAATTCATCATGCCATGGCTACATTACAGCTTCTTAGTCAAAACATTCAGTTGTTGTTGTTTGTTTTTAATAGCAGGTTTTAATTGCACCAAAACATATTAAAAGTTAAGTGAATTGTAATAGCGCACACTTTTCTGTAATTGTAGTAGTGCTGAGCGTTATTGATTTAAGCCTTGAAGGTGACATGCTCACAGCGTATGTGAGGGTGTGCAAGAAGTGCAAGAGGAAATCGGCATGCAAGCAAAGAGCTTTGTATGCTTGTATTACATAAATCTCTCAACTTGTAATACTGCGTTCAGGACATTTGTTATTGAAATAACGCCATAGGTAGTTGGTAGATCTGTGTAAAAGGCCTGCCACCACAGTTGGAAAGAAATCCAAGTGGAAACACTGTATTGTGATTTCTGCCCAAAATATATTCTTTTTAAATGTCTGGGTAAAAAAAAAAGAAAACTTTTTCCCCCTTTGAACACAATATATTTTATTTTCAAAAACTTTTCAAGTATTTTGGAACAGTAAACATGTCAGGCTAAATAATTTAAATGAATTATTGACTTCTGCTGTTTCAAAACACAGATTTCTTTACAATTTAAAATGGCATCTTTGGATATCGTTTCTGCTAAATATACTGTTGTCCTAAAAAACTAAAACAAAACGTTAAAAAAAAACCCTCACATATACTATAGGAACGGTATAGCAGAAAATGTTGGCGGTTTTAAAACCTTGATCTTTCCAAACCGTGGTATACCTTAAAAACAGTTATCGTCCCATGCCTAGTTCTAAAGTCTATAATTTGAGATGAGCAGTCAGGATTGGGCTGAGAATAATTGGTTTCGAGAAAGAAAGAAAAAAATGTGCGAACCCAAAAATGTCTGTCGTTTATTTGACCACCATTCTTTTCAAACCAAGCCTTCTGTTTTTCTTTTTAACAGAACTGAATATACTTTTTAATCAAACTGCAACTCTAATAGCCTGGCAACTAAACAAGCTACAAAAAGCTCCACTTAAGACACCAAAAACTTGCATTATTAACATAAAAGATAGGAGACTGTGCTCTGCACAGGATGAACCTGTTACACTGAACGACATGAAACAGCTCGTCCAGAGGAGTGGCAAGTATGAAAAACAGTACCTAAATGCTGTGACAGGAGCGAACCACAGCTCTGTTCCCTTTATCACCCTGCAGTAGGTCCACCACACCTATACACTGAAAAAAAAAGAAACAAACTGACAACTCAGAGATATGAATCTCTCTGATCAGAAAACTGAAAAATGCACAGAAGAAAACCATAACAAAGCGATGTCTGAAAAGACATGAAGGAGAGAAGAAGGCTGGACAGTCCAACACTTTCATGGCTGTCACTGAAGAGGAGAAACAGAGCAGGATCGTTATCTTCCCCAAAGCTCCAGCTCAACATTCCAACACTTGGTGTTTGCGTACCAAAAGAATTCCAAGTTCCTAAGAATAAGGGACGTACCACTTAGTACCAGGAAGGAGAGCAGTGAGAGTGGAAAAGAGGGGAAGAGACAAACAGAGGGGGAAAATATGTGGAAACAGCATGGTATGTAAAGGATAACACCAGCAAGTAGGAATGAATCACTTTTGGCCTTTGCAGTGCAGGAAAAGAAAATAAAACCAGCACATGACCTTCAAAGCTGTTAATAAGTAAACCATCCTACAGGTCTTCGGTTGACTTACAACTTCCACAGAAAACATTCTGAAAGTAATGTGCATGTAAATATGGAAAAGAAATTGTCTGATAGGTGTGACAACATCTCCATTTCAAGCTCTCAGAGTGAGCACGTTCTCTTTCTCAAACACAAATGTGTGAGTCCGCGTCATTGTCATGGACACAACCCGAAACCGAAACTTATAAAGAATGATATAGACAGCAAGTTTTTTTCTTTCTTTCTTTCCTTTTTTTCTTAATTGATATCAATATTATTTGTCCATTTAGTTACTGATGACTTTGTTTATAATATTACATTTGTATGCTTTGTGGCAGACACTTTGTTTATTAAACTGTCAAGAATATAAAAACAGCAAAGAAAAAATACTGCAATGCTAACTTTTTTTAATATTCATTTCTCATAATGTAGCAGTTGGCATGTCAATTGAGAATACAATGCTGATCATTAACCGGAAGGGTTTAAATTTACTAATTAAGGGCGCACTCACATTATGCTATCCGAACCATCCCCATTACCGTTTCCTGGATCATTTGGGTAGTGTGAGTGCTCTGAATTGGGCTCAGTGTGAATAAACCCAAAGAGAATGTTCAGTCATGTTGTCATACATGTGTAAAACAAGATCTTTACGAGTTTTTTTTTTTTATGCTGTCATTTAAGTGCTGTTTTATTATTGAGAGGAAAGGATTTTTTATATGTTCGCCTAAAGGGTCATGAAACCCTAAGCAGAGTTTTCACACCCACCTGATTTGAAAAAGTTAGGAAAACAGGCGTTTCCAGTTGTGTTTAGGTGGGAGTGTCACGTGTGGAAAGAGGGTAGGGTTTGTCTTAAAAGGGTAGTTCCATTACATGAATAAAAACAGTTCATTTGCACACAGTCAATGCAAACTTACACACACAGATGGAGAGTTATTCTCAGAGCACCATTTACTTCTCCTAACCTAAATAACACAGTTATATTGAATATAGTGCAGGTATTTACAATTTTTTTAACCTTTGTACACAAACCCAAGCATGCATGCAGAAGAAAGTTAAGGCGCTCATGATGAGGTCCAGATTGAAGTCTTGCAGTAGTATTTTTTTTTTACTGTTTTTAATATTTTAACTAATATTATTTTAAACTTTCAATGTTGAAAGTAATTAAATAATCCATAGACAATTAAGCCACAATTTAGGCATGTCGCATTGCACTTAAAATATGGATTGTGTCAATTTGTTGCACACAAAATTGTTTTAATTAGGGGTGTCAAAATTAATTTTTTCTTCTGTGCACCGTGATGCAGATGTATTTCTATGTATTACAAATAATATATAAATATACATTTTAATACAAGAATTGTTGTGCTGTGAAGAAAATATAAAACTGTGCATGGAAAGCATCGCCAATGTACAGTGATGCACCGAGTGATCAAACTGAACCAAATCTATGGCATCATAATCGTAACCGAACCGAACAGACCAGTGTAGGTTCACAAAGCACATTGAAGCACATTGACATGACTAGAAAAGTACATTTGATTCAACTAATAAATTTAAGGCAGCATTGCAATATTTTGTATTCATAAGTTATGTATTCTAAAATATCTTTAGATATGTTAAAATTAATATATAATATCTTACATATCCATCTGAATAAACAAAGTAGGCTACGTTTAAGGTCACACCAAATTTGTGAAGACAGTACTATCAACAGCAATGTCTTTTTTTTTTTTTTTTTTTTTTAAGAAGAGAACTATCAAATTCGGAATTTCGGATTCAACTATTTCCAGATACAAAAAGCATGCAGATAAACAAATAATTTCCCCCCACCCCAAGTATTATTAGGCCACATCAAACCAACAGCTCGCACCATGCAAAACCTCTGCTCACGTTGTGGGGAAACAGAATTCCATTTTTTTTTTTTTGTGTTGGCACATTTAGAAATGGAGCAATAAAGACCTGTGCCTCTGAAAAATGACAATGTAACAGGTAAGACGGAAGAGTCAGAGGCAACTTTCTCATGCATAATAACAAAGTTATGTCTCATTCATAATAGTGTGTGGTGATAGGATCAAACTAGCTCCCTCATGAATTAATGTGCAGAAATGCTAAAAACCCATGATGTCACGGTGCACTGGCAGCCATTTACCACTCAGAATTTGCGTATTGGCCGTTATATTGCAATAAAATCTATTTTTAAACTGAAAGAACAAATTTGCTCTAAACAATTTTCATTTGATAGTGAAATTTAGGTGTCTTAATAACGTTTTTATCAATGTGACACGCATATAGACTTGTCAACAGTCTCAAAAATGTTATGTTTCACCCTTTAAGGATGATCTCAGCTGTAACTCTCCCTGACTGTTCACAAACAGCACACCACTACTCATGATCAGGAATTTCAATTCTTTTCACACCAAAATGGAAAAAAAAAAATTAACTTTGCAGTGTGCAGGGGCCCACCTCAACATTGACAAGGTTGTAAATACTATATATTGTCCACTGCACTCAACTACATATAATACTACAAAAATCTAACAAGAAAATTTGGACTGATTTCTAAAGCTTTGCCATTCAGACATAGAATGAATCAGAATCCTGTTTAAACGCAAGTCATAGATTTACACAACAGCAGGAGAGCTGCTGTGTGAATTATATAAGTTGTTTAGCATTATTTGCAGTTCATGTCTCTGTATACAAAAAAATATGCCGTTTGTGTTGATCTGCTAACTGCTAATTATTCTTTTCACCAAATTTCTGCACCAAAATAATACATATAAAACCTGGAGGAAAAAGCATGTTGAAATAAGTGAATTGCGGTTCACTTTACATTTAAATCTGATGGTGTCTTCTTGTCAGTTCTTGACAAGGATAAGCTGTGAAAAGGTCCAGACCTGTCAAGAGTCAAAGGTCTGGGTCCACAAGACTAACAATACCTTAACTAGCCTAGTCATACAAATCTTCATTAGGTTTATTAGTCAAGTAGACAACCCAACGTGTCGATATTGAAAATATGATGTTCCTGAATCCAAATTTGAGATGAATTCATTACCAGTGCAGTTGTACAGCAAAAAAAGTGCTCCTCAGTTAAATGATCCCGTTCTTTAAAAAGTATGCTGTTGATGTGTTGCAATTTATAGCATGGGAAGCCAATTAGACACAGCGCTGATGATCTGTGGCTCATCCACTTTTGACTGGACGCACCTGGACTAGCCTGCGATGACTGAGAGATTTGAAGGACCCCAAATGGAATCAGGAGATTAATGAGGATTCCTCCCATTAGCCAAGTGACAAGCCTTCAAAACAAACATCTCGCACAACTCACCAGAAGCGTTTTCAGGTCAGTGATTTAAAAGATGCGTTTTTTTTGTTTTTTTTATCCTTGCAGGAGTGATTTGTTTGAACAGTCAGGGGCCAGCATGTTGTTATTGTCCTTTACTGGCCCCCCTGAAAACTAGTTGAAAAATCCATGGTCTAGACAGAAGAGTAGCCCCCCGGCATTTTGGATGAGCTCTGTAGGAGAGTTTGTGGCTTGTTAATTACAAGCCGTGGTGGTCCATCAGGACAGCAGAGCCTGAACATATTGGGAATTCCTCAGGGGACACAGATGGGTTATGGTGGTTCTGTACATTGTTGGCACAGGTCCCAGCTGCTTCCAGTACCACCATCTATGTGATAAAAAGCCTGTCTACACATTTATAACTCTCTTCCAACATCAACGCCTCACATCTGAGAATGAAGCTGAAACACTTGGGACTATCAGCCTACTTGCAAGTTCCACACATAATAATAAAATATTTGCTGATAACATTTGATCCTGGTGTTTGTCACTAGCGTGGATATGATAAAGCTTGACAAATACAGGCATTTTAATAGCTGATTTAAAAAAAAATAGTTTTATTAAAATGTGGCTGCTGAGCACGCACCTTGGAAGCATTGTCAATAAGCTCAGGGTGTAAGTTTGTCATTTGCAATGGAGGTATGCGACTTGCACGAAAACATCTCAACTTTCCCGAATGCCACGAGTGCACCGTGATTCATGTAAAAAAAGAATGAACCATTGTAAATGGTCAAGGAATCCACGCACAGGTGCTTGTCACTTCAGGTCAGAATAACAACACTTACGTGTTGCAGCAGTGAGGAGATTGTAAATTAAAAAGGATGTAAGGATGTTGCCAGAGAGGCTTTTGGGTTTCTTTTCTTGTGCATCCCAGTCACTAGCACCCCATCTGAAAGATTTTTTAAGCATAGGGGTAATAGTCATTCAACTTCACAATTTATAATGTTGCAATATGTATTTGAGCAATGATGTTTGGTTCCTTTACTTGAAAGCTCAGATTTGATTATCATAATTTGTTTTGTTGACAAAGTTTGAGGTTTACTGTACCATTATTATTCATTATTCATTTTTAGCATTTACGTTTTACCATTGCAGACACTTAACATTTAACACACTTAACATTTAACACTTATGTTAATTTTATTATAAAGAGATCAGATATTTTGTTTAAATATTTTTGCTTTTGACTATTAAAACTATTTGCCTTAGAAATGTTGGTAAATTAAAATAAAGCGGTTAAAAAATCCTAATATTTCTAACTGTACTGTTAAAAATATTCAATAATCTTTGACACTGAATTATATGAAACATGATATCGTAATATATATATATATATATATATATATATATATATATTTTTTTTTTTTTTTTTTTTTTTTTTTTTTTTTTGTAATATCACACAGTCATTTAAAAAAAGGTACTAACTTAGCAAAGGTGGACTAAAATCAATGACCTTACCGGAACTTTTGTAACAACCTTTCCATATATAAAGTATAATATATAAAGTAATATCCTAGTGAAAAAAATATTGACAACTATAATATCCTACTGACAAGCCAGTGCAGCATAAAAAATAGATTATTGCAATTTTGTATTTAGATGGAGTTTTAAAATTTTAATTATATATTAAATATATAATGATATAAATAAATAAGTGAGTGTAGATTCTCTAATAAACTTTATACAATGAATGTTAAATTCTACAAAAAAACATGCTTATTATTATTATTATTATTACTACATTAAAATTAATTAATTGTATTTATTTAAATAAGATCAATTTAATCAATATATGATTAACACATTTTAATATTATTACTTTATCATTTAAATATGTGGGAGTTACACTACACTCTATTCTACAATATATCCATCAGACAGGCCAACGGTTTTCATTAGGCTGCCAGGCCAGACTCCGAAGGAACGTGGCGGTGAAGTAATATGATTCTAGAGTATGCTGGCATTAACACCTCTCACTCTACTCTGAAAACAGATACTGTCTCCTTGAAAGAAACCCATCTGATCCAGAGCCAAAATCCTCTATCATCTGTTATAGCATCATTTATTTGTGCAGTAACTCCACACCTGCGCCACACAAACGAAACTGACATAAATAACCTATTATTATCATCATCAACAGTGCTGAATCATTTTATTAAAAAAAGATGTTTGGCTTAGTACATGCATCAAGAGTATAGAAAAGGTTATCTGTGTGGTGGTGCTGATACAGGTTACTTACAGCCAGCTCTGAGCTGATTTATATCACAGTGTGCAGAGGGAAGACTTATCTTTAAAAAACACAGAGCAGCCAGCTGACATGCAGCTTGTGATCTGAGGAAATGATAAGATTATCAATTGTGTTCTTAATAATGGATTGAAGACATGAATCACAACCAATGCTGCCTTGGTAGGAATGTTCTTTTGAGACTTGGTTATATATAAAAAGCAACATCTACAAAGATTTTGTTTGACAGAGAAGCACCAAAAACTCACTTATAAAGTCTAAGGGTCAAGTATCACACCTTGATAGACTTTAACATTACAAACTCTTTTATTGATTTCATTTATTATAAATAAGAAAACAACAACATATAAAGTTGAAATCTGAACCATTAGACCCTCTGTGTATTATTTTCCCCCAATTTCTGGTTAACAGAGATTTTTAAACACATTTTTAACAATAGTTTTAATAACTCATTTCTAATAACTGATTTATTTTATATTTGTCATGATGACAGTAAATAATATTTGACTAGATATTGTTCAAGACACTTCTATTGACATTTAAAAGCTTAACTAGGTTAATTAGGGTAACTAGGCAGGATAGGATAATTAGGCAAGTTATTGTATAATGATGGTTTGTTCTGTAGACTATCAAAAAAATATATATATGTAGCTTAAAGGGGCTAATAAATTTGACCTTAAAAGGGTTTTTAAAAAATTAAGAAACTGCTTTTATTCTAGCCGAATTAAAACAATTAAGGCTTTCTTTAGAAGAAAACATATTAACAGACAGATAAAGATTAACAGATAAATGTCCTTGCTCTAGAAATATTTAAAAAGAAAAAAAAGAAAAAATTCAAAGGGGGCTAATAATTAGGGGCCTATTCTGACTTCAACGCTATATTGTTTTTAAAAATATTCCTGTTATGAAAAACTCAACCTAAAAAACATAATAGGCCATTATAGTTTTTCCATAGTCAAAAAAGACCTCATACAGAGAAATGATCTATATTACAAATCAAAGTTCTATGTGAAAAAAATATTAAGCTACTATTGAGTTTACTTCAACCTTATTGCTTATATTATTAATTTACTCTTCATTTTAATATTTGTTATTATTATTCATTCTATTCTAATTTTAAAATCACAAATAACAGATTATTCATCATCTTAAATTTTTGTTTAAATCATTTTTTTTTACTCAAACTTAGGGGTCATTTTTCCCAGATGTGTTTTTTTAAGGTTAAGTACTAACCTAAATACTGAATTGTAAAAATATATATTATTTTAATTCTGTTTGTTTATATTATTGTGCTAATCTTAATAAAATACTTAATTCTTGTCATTTAAGAATAATTTATATTTTATAATAACATTCAATATTAACATTTCATTTAATGATAATCTTTATTTTATTAGTTTTGTTTTTCCAGGTTTCCCCCCCAAAAATATTTTCCTCTGTAGCTGCTGCTGGACCTATTTTCAGACTAATATTGGTCATTCATATACTTTTCAGGTCATTTAAAACACCATTGGGGCGATTTCAATTTATACTAAAAATAAAATAAAAACCAAGCATCCAGTGCATAACTACAAATAACAAAAACTTCACAAAAGTATACTATAATTCGATGGGTTTTGCATGCACAGAAATATATCTGTAATTGTATATATTTTACAGAAATATATCTGTAAGTTGATTTACAACACGAGAAAAGTTCTACAACACAGAAAAACTCCCCAAAATTCCCAAGTTTTACTAGCACATCAAACTGTCAGACGCCTTTCAGTATAAAGAGAGGTTGATAAAATAAACCTGAACACTTAACACAAGTTTTATAAGCACATAAACACTTTAACGTGTCTAGTAAACAGATCTGTCTGAGTGACCAATTTAATAAATAACTACATTTTAAATCAATGAATAACACAGAATGATTAACTCAGAACTGTAGAATTATATCATAAAGGTGTCTGACACACACACACACACACACACACACACACACACACGCACACACACACACACCTGCAGTTCCCAGTCATAAAATAAAACGATAACGCCCTTTCCATGTCAGGTTTGATCCACAGTATTCCAGTAATCATTCCACAGACAATATAAAAAAGGAAGCCCTATCAGATTTCTGAACCAATGCGAAGGGAACAATGCGACACTTGTGTCCTAATGGCTGTATTGAAGGTAGATAAACCATGGCAGTCCGTGTAACCTATCGATTAAAGAAACTTCCACGCAGTTTCAACAGGTTGTGTATAGGGAGGTGAATGAATCCACAACTTTGCCATTTTAAACCCTTTGTTTCATTTTCAGTTACTTAATACAAAACCACAGGTTTATAGTCTCAAGACCTGGTGAGCTGCCACTTTTCGGACACTGGACGCACTAATGATGCCTAAAAATGCTCCCTAGGTAGGCGACTCATTAGGCTTTGAGACTGTAACGTGAGCTATTTGAGCTTGATATTCCTAGTAAACTAAACCAACAGCGAAACGCAGTACTTATACATCTTATAAACAGTCCCTTGAATGTTTATAGAGCTTCATTTAAGACAAATGAGTGCGTGCTTTAATGTTTTGCTGAGTATTTGCATAGCTAACACAGCTAGCTGGCCACTTCCCGAAGTGCAGCCTTGCTTTCTTTCCCAGGCAACCTGTTGCAAACAACACTGACGCCGCGTTTTAAGGGCCAAAACAACTTGAAAGAGTGGCTTAGCTTACCTCTGTAGTCACATATGCCGTCCTTTATGTCCACTAAGCGTATAAATACTTCCAAACAGGCGGTTTTGTTCACAGAATGGCACGTTATATTGTTGTCATGTTATGTGACGGGTCGCTACGGCTCGACTGTTTCAGGCTCGGGACTGACTGACTGACTGACTGAGAGTGGCTCAACAGCGCCTCCGGCAACCCTATGAGACGACGCTTCTGATTGGAAAGATCCTCCACGCTTAAACTCCGTAGTCCAATCAGAAGGGTTTTTTCTTCACAGTGTCGACTGAACGACAAGCCGGTCAGTTTCGATCGAGCAGAATTAAAGGATTGGAATTTTGGGTGCTTGTTCTGATTAGGTACTTGTAAGTATTGTAAATACACAATTGTAATAACAGTCAAACTAATTGGACAAAGTGTATTTTCTCATGATATTTAGTAAGATGTACGGCGAATATGGAGACATGGAAGTGTCTTTTAGTTTTTAACAATCTTTAAAATATGTTTAAGTGGACCTATTGTGCAAAAATTATTTTATAAGGTGTTAAATGACAGTTGTATGGCAACGATGTGTGAATTATATAGCCAGCCTCTAATGTTAAAAATAAACAGTTTTTTTTTTTATAATCCCATTTCATAAAAACCACACACACACACACACACACACACACACACACACGAGATGTTCTCTCCCTCATTAGCATAGACAGCTCTAAGTAAGAAACAGCTGTCTGTCATTCTGGTTTTAGCACCATATCTGCCAAAGATAATGTCAGCGACTAAAACCCCGTTTACACTAATACGTTTCAGCTTTAAAACTGCGTTTTAAAATAAACACGATCCATGTCCACACTGGTGTTTCACCTAGCGTTTCTGAACAGATCTCCATCCACACTATACCACTAAAAACACACATCACGTGACCACACACACACTCTGGCATGTGCTGCAGCATATGCGCACATGCCAGCTCCAGGCAGTCAGGGGGTGCTTTGAGCACAAAACCCAAGGTGAGAGCAGCGCACATCGAACAGTTCATCAAGGATCTTCTGCTGGAACTCCTTTCACTATATTTTTTAAACGTGATATTTAATTAATCTTGTTGTCTATTCGCCGACTTTCTTTTGAATCTATTTCTTGTTCTATAGTAACTTGTTTTGGCTGAGCGCAAAGATAAGTTAATATATTAATTTATGTAAGAAGGTTAACTGATTCTGCACATTTGACTGATTGCTTGCCTTTATTTTTTATAATGTATAAACTTATTGTATTATACTTTAATAGGGGCCATTATTGATTATCAAAACTGATATTCAGCAAAAGAGACAGGGTGTGTTTCATATTTTTCACTGAAAATGAAAGGAGGCAGTAATATAGGCTTCATTATGTTATAATTATGCATACAGTGAAGACGATTATCATATACTGTAAATATCCAGCTACACGATGCCTCAACATTTTTGGTGTCTGTTAATTAGCTAATACCAAAATAAAAATAGGCAGTTCCTTATATCATATTTTCACTTTATTGTTAAGATATTGAAACAACATAGCCAGGGTGATGTGAATGACGTTAAAAAGTAGAGCTACACTGTTCTCTTTGAAGATTTACCCGACAAGTCCTCAGGAGTTTGTTTTCAAATTTGCGAAGTCTTAATTTACAAGGAAAGGATGCAAGAATGAACTTTGTGCACTTAATATTGAGAAAAGCCCCAATCAGGTAGCGAATGTCAACAGACATGCCTCCATTTTCAGTTTCTCTGTTTTCCCCCATCCACACTGATACGGAGCAGCAACGTTTTAGGATGAAAACGGCCTTTTCTGCATTTTCAAAAAGCTGTTTTCCAGGCTCGAAAACTCTGGGGTATTGTGAATCGTGGGCGTAACTGTAGCAAAACTTGATGCATTTTAAAACTAAAACGTATTGGTGTAAATGGGGCCTAAGAGGCTTTATAAATCTGATGTTTTAAGATGAACACCGATATTTCAATAGACTACTATCTTCTGAGACACTTCTTCTGAGATTTTCAGTTTTTCACAGAAATAGCATTAGTCCTGTTTTGAATCTGCTCCTATGCTGATGTATCCGCTTGTTAAGTGGTGTTGTGTTGGTGACATATGTAATATTGTTTCCAGGTCCAAGCCGCCACTCATTTGAATTGAGAAAATATTCCTTTATTATCACTTTTTATTCATATCACACTTTAAAGTGAATTTTATATAAAGTCATAGTGTACACAACAATCTCTGGGTGTCCTGCATCACAAATACCAACATTTTAACAATTTCTAAAAAAAATTAATCACTTTCTGGCCATGCATCGCATATTAGGCATGAATATATATATATATATATATATATATATATATATATATATATATATATATTGTGATCATGATTTTCGAAAGAATTACATGGCTTAGTAAACGTTTATTATTACCATTTCACGAGTCTCCTCATACAGTTTAATAGAGCGATTGGACACAGAAACCGCCTCGCGTGACGTCACACTTAACAAGCGGATAGGCATTTGTAGCTCATTTGAATTTATATATATATAGTATTGTAAGATGAAACTTCACAAACACTCTAGGGACATCAGAAACTTATTTTATATCATGTAAAGAGGGGGATAATAGGTCCCCTTTAAGTGTTCAATAGTAAAGAAAGAAAGAAAGAAAGAAAGAAAGAAAGAAAGAAAGAAAGAAAGAAAGAAAGAAAGAAAGAAAGAAAGAAAGAAAGAAAGACCACCTGAGGGTGAGTAATTTTTCTTTTTTGGAAATATAAATTAAAATATACATTTTAATAAAAAGTAAAGAAATCATATATAAATATATAAAAACAAGTAAGTCAAATAAGAGACATGGTTTAATAAATATAACGCATTATTAAATAAAAATTACTCACACAAGCGAGAAAAAAGACAGATATGGAGAAGTCAAAGGTAATCAGCTTTCAGTGTTTATTTAAAAAAAGAAACTGAACCACGTCTTTACATAATGATCAAGAATTTTAATTCTCGCATTAGATCGGTATTACAGAAAATGATATTATAGTACAGAGTTTTTCAATATCTTTTGAATACCATAGTATATTTCTCAGGAGTGCTGGTCACTTGTCTGTACAATATCTCTCTTGCATTTTTTGGACTGTACATTTTATGTAATTCGTTTAAAAAGGCTGTCAGCACTTAAATAAGCTGTGTCTTCATCTTTGAAATGAAACAAAACCAAAGTTTCCAGGGAGCTCAGCCTCTAGGATTGGGCCGGGCGAGTTTAAATGTAAGGGTAGGGGGTAAAATAGAGAGTAATAAGGGCAGAGCTATGAGGGCCAGTTTATTATGAAGTATGTTCCAGGGGGTAGCCTGTAGCACAGGACATGCCTTTGTGTGTGCTGAAGTAGCACAGAATTTACACAGAGACCCCCACCGGTCATCATTTCCAAAAAAACAAAAACAAAAACAAAAAAAAACAACAATCCGCGTAAAGTCTGTGCTTCCCGATAGCACGCGCTACTTTTGGGCATCATGACCACATGACTTTCCCCCCACAGCCCTGGCTTTTGGCACTGCGCACATAAACACGACTCACAAGATAAACGACAAGCAAAGCGGTTTTGTAAACCCTTTATGAAGCATAATGAAGTCTTTATGGAGCATATAATACTAAAGGGAACGATAGCTGGGTCACCTTGGTGCACTTTGAGGAGAGATGAAAAGATCCAGCTCCTGTCGGAGATCGGAAGGGATCCCCTGTTGTCATTTCAAAGAGCTTTTCATTCCTCAATGACACATTTTCTACCGATGAGAAAATAAGCTTTCCGATGTACGTGACAGGCGCCAACAGCTGTCTATTAAAATGCTACGGCTATCTATAAGTTCTAGCATTGAACACACAAAGCAATTGCAATGAAAGAGAACAGAGTTGCTTAATATGATAATATTCATCATTATATTAATCATAATTATAACAATATATTACAGAATAAATCTCTTATATTTTATATATATATATATATATTCTCACTTTAAAAGGTATAATATTTTCTGTCTTTGAAATACTATGTCGTCGAAGTCGTATTTTCATAAATTTCACATATTCGTCTTTGTTCGAAACGTTGATTATACTGGATCAACTTCTCCCAAATCAATAAAAACTAGCTGTGCCGTTGCATATTACAGAATAGTAATGATATGTGGACATGCACCACTTTCTTGCTCTGTACTTGGTCTGTCCTCGTAAGATGACATCATAGCCGTCCTATGACCATGACGTCCACGACTTCGCCCTTGTGCAACTCCACGTATTGCTCTGTTTTGGGAGGCAACATCAGAAGGCCGTTGGCACTGCGCATGCTCATTAGCCGACTACTCATTTGGTTTCCTGTGAAAACAATTAAAAAGAAAAGAAGAAGGTGTCACTTGCTATTATAATGTGGCATATAAATAAGTTGTATGCGCATGCCGCTATTTCACGCCAATTCATTTTTGATTTAGTCGCTAATTTGTACAATCTCTTTTCCTATGACTGAACTCGTTTGAATTCATATGAATAACAAAATGTGAAACAGCTACGTTTTCTCGTGAGATCAGGCTGGTGGTGTGCATAAATGTAATAATAAGGTATACCTGTGCTCTGTGCCCAGGGAAGTGGTTCCTGGTGGTGCCATGTCAGTATACAGCGATGGTACTCTGGACGTGGATCCAACTTTACATCACAGGAGAGCTACAGAGGGGAAAAAACAGGCAAATATTGTATAACTATTGTATAACGTGTAAATATTGTAAATAAGTATAACAATCCAGTTAGTGAACCAAGTACTCCAAATATTGTTCTAGTAAACACACACACACACACATATATATTAGCGCTCTCAAAATTAATGCGAATAATTTTAAATAATTAACGCGTTAAAAAAATTAACGCAATTAACGCAGTTCAGGTTTTTTTTTCTTCCTGTTGTGCTGGACGTGTGTTCAACATGCAATAAATGTGGATAAGACCAAGGAAGCACTTTTTGAAGGCAAGTTCCAGTATAAAACAATTAGTTGCATCACAGGTTATCCAGAGTTTCATGCAATTTCGGGTGTTTCATTTTTAACTTTCGACATCTGTTGTAAGTTGATACCGCATGGCGAACAGAAAGAAAACCCTCCGCATTTCGTGACTCGGTGTTCCTTTAA